ATATATATATATATATATATATATATATATATATTATACATATTATATAATATATAATATATCAATTATATATTTATGTAATTGACTAAGCAGTGTGTAGCCAAACAAAATTAATATGAATCAAGTTTACAACACGTTGTACAATTGCCTATCTTGAACGACCAAAGACGATCCTCAGAAGAACGTTTCATCATGATGGTGAAGTCACCGTATTGTCTCACTCTTTGGCTAATATTTAGGGCAGTTGTTCAACATAATTCTTCGGTACCAATCCCGTTTTACCGTTCAACGTACCTTCCAGCCAACCTGGTTCCCAAGAGTCCTTAACTGTAAAAATACACACGTTATCATAAGCTTTCGTATACATATGTTAAATTAACAGTCTCCGTGTCGTACACACCATTTGTGATGATTTGATTTGGTTCAAATGACAATTCCCCGTCATTTTCCGCCATGCACGCGTACAAAGTTCGTACTCTCCTAAGAAAGAAAACGTACGTGGTCACTACGAAATCGCGATCACTGAACTTAAATCTCACCAAGTGTGGGGAGCAGCACTCACCAAATTCCAGGCGTCTGACCGGGGCTCGAACGTCCATTACCGGGCGAAGTGTTAATGCTGCAATTAAAATATCGAGATGAGGACAAAAGTGCGATTGGGAATACACGGAGTACAGAGTTCCTTTTCCGGTTGTTAATGAAAAGAAGCGACTCACGGACATGACGACGAGTTGCTGCGTTGGGAGTAAGCGGTGGGATAGTGCACGGACATCATGCCGCTGCGTTTCTGCTTCACTGGTATCTCGCCTGTAAACGGATGAGGGTCCGACGCGATCGATTCACTCGAGCTACTCGTATTACCGCCGCTCAGTACTACAACAAATAACAAAAGCCTCGTTCGGACACATCTTCTCTGGCAGATCTAAAGACGGTATTGCAAGTATTATCGCGAAATAAATGTATGGACGTATGAAGAACCAAACCTTTGTCGGCTGAATGATACATCAGGTTCGCATTAGTCAATTTTATGCGACTGCTACCGCCACCACCGCTGCCGCCACCACGACCAATTTCTACGTACAATGGTATACGATGGCTCGTGTTGTCGAGGTCTTCGTAATCCCCGTTGCTTCTTTCGTCGACGATAGAGGACTTGTTAACCACCGTTAAAGGCTGCCCGTCGTAATAGGACCTCGTAACAAGCTGCAGACATATCGATATGTACTGTGTTATATTGACGGTAAAAAACATATCTCTATGTAAATTTTTGTCTAAAATGACAAGATACCGCACATATTTCTCTTATTCATCTTATGTGCGAAATTAACAATTGAATCAGCGGTGAGGTGAAATGAGAGAAACTCACGTGCGCCTGCGACGACGTGGGTGTGAGCGATATCGCCGTGTGAAGCGGATATCTCATGAATGCCGTGCCGTTACCAGAGGAAGAAGTCGGACCCTCTTCTTGGACTTTGACACGTTGCGATTTACTTGGGACAACAACAGTGGTTTGCAACGGTGAGTGTCCCGCCGCTGTGCGCAACGAATCTTGCGGAGATCCAGCCACGATTCTTTCGCAATTCTCTATTAATATCTCCACCACGATATTGTGAAATTTGATATCTATTATGGAAGCCACCGTTTCCTCTTCCGGCCGCAATAATGTCGGACCGAAACATACCGCCAAGTTCCCCACGGTCATCAGATTTTTATCGCTCTTTTTGGCCACACTGGAATTTCGACAGAATTCTGAGTAAGTTTGCCGATATGTGAGTTTCTTGCTACGGTAGATTATCACACGCACAAAACGCAAAAGAAAACACTCTAGATAGCGATTAAATGATTTTAGATAAACAAATAATCTTTAGATATGCAATGAAAGAGTAAAATTCAACAATAACAAGTAATAATTAATAAGAATAACTCGTCTCTTACGTGCAAAGATGTGTGATAAGAAGAATCAGCATGTTGAAGTTGGCTTTGGGTAGTCGATAAACGAGGTTGTGTACATCGTTTATCCTAGTTTCTTTCGTCTCCTGTTCTGTTTAATAACAGTAGAAAAATGTATATTAAACTATATATTCTTTATCTGTTTTATTTACACACGAGGATTGTTTAAATGAAAAATCAATGGGGAGAGAAGAAAGAAAAAGCGGTTTTTTACGATAGGAAAGAGAAAAAGAGAAGAAAGCTAATCTTGGCATGTAGTCCCTCTCTAATCTCTTTCTCTCAGAGTGGATGTAATAGCAAAAATAAAACAATATGTTATGAGAATACCTATACGCACTCGCAGCTGTAATGAAGCTATTGTAGTATCGGAAAGTCATCAACGGTTCCGACAATGTCCTTAGATATGTCTTGAGTGCGCTAGTAATAGTTTTGCTCTCCCACTCGAAACGATCGTTTAGATTGATCTTGTCTACTTTCCTCTTGTCGAGTCCCATCGTCAGAAGTTTGTTCACTTTCGAGGCAACACCGACGACTCTGTACAAACCTTGTTCTTCAAGCCCTGTAATTGATAGTTATCAGGTAATTTAAGCTCGATTAATTCACACATTAATCACTAGGTCACAATTACCGCTCACCTCTATCTTCGAGCGCTGTAATACACTTGGATACGAACGTAAAACCAGTTTCGTCCAACGTCGTATCTTCGGATTTTGCGGAAGAACCCAATAATGGGCAAGTCTAAAGCAAAGAAAGCTTACAAATCTTGCAACGATTATGTGCGATTCCACACATCAAAGTTAAAAAAAGGTAATACGAGGTCTGGCTATTAAATAACGAGACTGCTTATGAAAAAGAGTTTTATTTTAAAAATTATTCTACAATCGAATGCTCCCCTTCAATATACTCCCCTCCCCTCGCCACACACCGTTCCATTCGTTTTTTCCATTGATCAAAGCAATGCTGGAAGTCTTCTTTTGTAAGTGTTTTTAGGAGCTCCGCCGATTTTCGCTTCACCTCTTCCATCGACTCGAACCGGGTTCCTTTTAACACTAGATTTACGGATGTTGATTATATACCTATTTTTACTGAAGTGAGCCAATTTGACTCATACGAGAAAATTGAAGTTCTTTGCAAAGAAAATAGTTCCAAATCAATTTAAATGAAAGATTTATTATTAAAAAATTCATTGAAAACATTTTTTACATATAAACTCTGTTTTTGAAATACATTTTCCGCAAACATTTCGATTACATTTAGCACAAAGGCTCTTACATCTATTTCTATTACATGATTCTTGAACTTGACAATTCTTTCGTGCGTCAGTAGTATGAATTTTTGTCAATAGAATGGATGTGTTCTCGACATCTCTATATTTACTTCTTAGCTCTTCAGCCAATTGGAAAATAAAATCTTTTCTTGAAATATTTACATAAGTGGTCTCTTTATATAGAATCCAAGCATTGATAGCTGCTAAATCTAAAATGTTATAGAAAACTTGTAGAAGCCATCTGCGAGAGCCTGCTTTAACGCTATATTTTNATGAATTTTTGTCAATAGAATGGATGTGTTCTCGACATCTCTATATTTACTTCTTAGCTCTTCAGCCAATTGGAAAATAAAATCTTTTCTTGAAATATTTACATAAGTGGTCTCTTTATATAGAATCCAAGCATTGATAGCTGCTAAATCTAAAATGTTATAGAAAACTTGTAGAAGTCATCTGCGAGAGCCTGCTTTAACGCTATATTTTCGGGCCATTTGGTCAAGTATATCCACGCCATACTTGGTGCTATTATAAAA